AACCATATGTGCTGTTAGTGTGCACATTAAATCCAGTTTCATCCAAATAAGTAAGTTTTTCATCTGAAATTCCGTTTATTTCGCTTGCAAGTGCATAGCGTGCATTAACAACTGGTGTTGAATTTCGTTCTTCGGCACATGCACAACACATTTTCCTGATAAATCCGAGCGTTTGAGTTTTCTTGAAACAGAAGGCTGAGACATGTTGAAGCCTGCTGCAGAATGATTTTTTTTTATTGCTTTTTGCGTGCAAAGATTGTTTTCTTGTACGCATAATTCGATAATATTTTTTATTTAAGAGTTTATAGGTCTTTTTACCTCGTTTTTTATCAGAAAACAACTTGAATGCAGTCATGTCGTCGAATTATCCTCTGTTTAACTTAACGACAAAATTTTGAACTGTGCGCTTCGATAGATTAAGAGAAGTGGAAATGCTTGTTGTAGATTGATTTCTTTTATTTAAATGCTTAAATATTTCAACGTGCTCTTTTGTAACATTTTTTGATTGGTACTGCTATTTTCTGTTCCATCCATTGGGATGTATAATTTGATATTAATAATAATTGTAAATAATTAAATTTAAATCTAGATAAAGCAATAATTAGATAAATAATAACTTAATCAATCAAGAAATTTAATAATAAAATTACAAAGAACTAATACTAAATTAAATAAACTATCATCGAAAACAAAGAACTAAGACTAAATTAACTAAACCATCGTCGAATGTAAAAAGTCTTCATTTTAAGTATTTTTAACCTCGTTTACCTGGAAATAAGAATGAATAAATGCGCATATAAAAATGAATAAATGTGCATATAATAATGAATAAATGTGCATATAAAAATGAATAAATGCGCATATAAGAATGAATAAAGGCGCATATAAAAATGAATAGACGCGCATATTAAAATGATTAACCCTGTAAAACAACAATTGAATATAATGCACAGACAGGAAAGTTACAAAAAGTTGTGTACTGACAAAGTACGTAACAACCTACCATGTAACTAAACAATTACTGCAAAAAAAAAGTAACAATAATTTAATAAAAATAATAATCTTATTATGAATAATCATAATAAAAACGATAAAAGCAAAGTAGTTACTTCATTAAAAAATAACAATAAATAAACAAAACAAAAATTATTCAATTAAAAGTATAGAGTTTTCATAAAAAATGACAATATTAAAATAAAAAAGTATATCATTTTAAGCAAACACATATTTTCGCGTTTCTTTTCTCTTTTTTGTTAATTTGTTTTTTAATTTTTTTAGTTAGATAACAAATGGTATATGTGGATGGTCCTTTAAGACTCCTTTAAGATGTAAAGATTATATAAATGATTAAATTGATTATGATAAAAATATTTAGTATAACTCTGGTTAGTTGTTTTATGTATATTTTTAAAAATATATATTTTTTCTATAGTATATAATTTTTTTTTTGTTTGTTTTTTATTTTGAAGTATTTTTCTAACATTTTTTTACTATTTCGATTTTTTTTTTAGTTATTATGACTAAACAAGAGAAAAATTATCTATAGCAAAAGTTTATTCAGACTTTTTTTCAATCTACGACAGTAAGACCTGATAATTTTAGAAGTAAACAGATTTCAGAAAAGTCTTTGTCCTACCAGGTGATGATCATGATGATTGCGATGATGAAATGATATGCGTGATAATGATGAGCATATGTAATTTAGATGGTGATCATCATATCATGATGTTGGTTCATTTTCAGTATTTTATAGAAATGTATATGATCACAAATTTGTATATTTAAGTTCAGAAACTGACACTCCGCTGTTACTGAAAAAAAAAAGAATGTCGTAAATAATAAAAAAAGACACTAGCTCGAGCCCGTGCAATTCCTCCTTTAACATTTTTATGTTTTGAAAATTTGACTTCTTCAGATTATTTCAAATTAACCTTTTAAAACAAGGCTCTGCTTCTGAAGTTTTAGAAAAGGATGTATTTTTATACTTTTTTCATTTGAATATTCTTTTTTATTTTTGTAACTGAATTCCAATATGTTCTGAAACAATCTTTTAGTTAGTTTGTGTAAATCAGACACAAATATGGATCAAAATTTATCAAGTTAAATTGATGGACGTACTTTTTTTAAAAGCAACGAATTAGACAACTGATGGGATGGAGACCCATCTACTTCTATGGTATTGTATTTTATTGACTAGTAATTTTTTTTTTTTTTTTTTTATGAAGAATTTATTTAAAAGAGTGTTTTATATGGTGACAATTTCTTAATTTATTTTTAGCACTTTAATTCTGTTTACTATTTTTTACACATAGTTTAACTTTGTGTTATTTAGATGCTGTGAAAATAAAAGTTTAACCTCAGAAGCATCAGGAGAAGAGTTTGAACATTAACTTAAGAGATATTTTTAGCTTTTCGTGGATTGAAATGGCGGACGTAAAGCTCGAGAGGAACGTTCATTGTATAAAATGTTATTTGCATAAATAGCAAATTGAACTTTTAATAACATTTTTTTATTTCATTTTTTTTAAATACACTTTTGGTTGGGAATAAATCTTGAAAATATTTTTTTTATATATACATATATATATATAAGTTGGAACAAATTTCATAAAGTACTTATTTGTTTGATTTATACGGGATAATACATTTGTACAGAAACGGCTAATAATAACGTGCTAGTGTATTAGTTAGTAAAAAGTAACGTCGTTAGTACTGACAGGCGACCACGAACAAATGTTGGAAAATGATCACGGATCAGTACTGATAATAGATAATGGGCCAGTGCTGGTAAGCGATCGCGGGCCAGTGCTGGCAAATGATCCCGGGCAATTGCTGGCAAACAATCGCATGACAGTGCTGGCGAACAATAGCAGGCCAATGCTGGCCCATGGCTAGTAGGCATGTGCTGGCCCAATGGCTGTTTCGATGCAGGCCCGTGACCGATAGCCGTCATCGCACCGTAGTCGCGAGCGGAACTGGACCAGCATTGGGCCGCTAGCGGGAAGCTGTCTGGGTTAATCCGGATGAACCAAAAAAAACACAATAAACTGTTTTTTTTATTATAAAAACTGAATGTTTTCTTAATAAATTTAGAAATAGAAAAAAAATTTGATGTCTTGTGAAAAAATCATTTTAATATGTTGAATCCTTCTTCATTTATAAGTCTTTTTACTCATTTTGTATTTTGAGCGACACATAGTACGACACCAGTACTTAGTACAGTATAGTCTACTATAAAAGGTAAAAGTGGACTTAAAATCTCAGATTTCATGATGAAAAATTAAAAACAGGATTTATGTATGTATGTATGTTGAAAGTCATAAAAATTTAGTTTTATAGTAGTTGTATTTTTATAATAGTCATTGTAAACAACTATTGTAAAACTTTAGTTCAACATTGGTGATGTCAAGCACCAATATTGAACTTGATCCCTTGTACTAAAAAGCTAAGTAATTGTTTTGAGGTCATACAGTTCATACTGCTTGTCCACCATTCCTATTATCTTGCTCTTAAAGGTGACGAGGAGACAACTGATTGTGGACTAACTGATGATTTTGGTGATGAGTGACACAAATTAGTGCATGTTACATATATAGAAGAACCATTAATAAGTTATAGACACAACATCTGTTTAGTCTAACCAATACTATTAAAAGTAATTCCAAAATTTTAAAGAGACATTACTTGTCGCCTTACCTTTTGGTTGTTTTTCGCAGTAATGTGGTGTCCTAACTTAGATACTCCTTAAACAAACTCCGCTTCTTCTACACAAACCTAACTTTGCCCAACCTTACAGTCTATCAAGTTACAGACTCTCAGCTACCTACTGGAGTTAGCGAGCAAGTCTGGTATGGTCTCAATGTTGGAAAGAATCGCATTCTCATTGGTTGGGCTTACAGGCCCCCATCATCAGACGTAGCGACCAATAATATAATAAATTGATCAATCAAAAAAGCGTCCTCGCTTGTAGATCAAAGCAAATTTACCCATCTTTTATTAGCTGGTGATTTATCATATTATTACATTAACTATTACATTACTTGGTCAAGGTCTGGTGGATTATGTAGAACCTCTTCTAAAGAAGACTTAGAACTCCTTCATGTAGTGAATTCTAGTTTGTTAACTCAGCTTGTCCATGAACCATCTTTAGGTAGTAATTTTCTTGATCTAGTATTTACTGACGACCCAAATAATCTTACTAATTTTTAATGTAAACTCCATTTGGTCACACTTTGAAGGGTAAACTTCACTCGACAATAACATGGGATCTAATACTTGCCGATAACCTAGAGAAGACCAGAGCCACGGTTAGAATGAATTATAACAAAGCTGATTCCAATGACATAAACTCCTACTTTCTCAGACAAAATTGGAAAACGCTTTTTAACAATAAAAACGTTGAAGAGTGCACCAAATATTTCAATATCATTACCATATAGTTATGGATGAATTAGTCCCTGTTTACTGTTCAACCATTCGAAAAAAAAATACATTTTAATATATTTCAATCGTGAAATTCAGAAAGTAACAAAAGATAAATTTTCAGCATTTACTTGTCTCCGTGCTGCTCCTCAAACCGTCAAACCATTTCTTAAATCAGCATTCAGTAAAGCTTCTCGTCGCGTAAAATCACGTCTAATTAAAGCTTTTAAACAATATGAAGCTAATTTAGCTGCAAAATGTAAATTGGATCCCAAGCTTTTCTATTCGCATATTAACAAGCAAAAATCAACAGAGAACGCCTTCAGGCTCTTGTCGACCATACTGGAAATATAACCACGAATCGAGTAGAAATGTCAAATATTTTAAATAAGCAGTTTTTTTCTGTGTTTTCGAAAGATTTTATTGATGTTGTTCCATCTTTTGAGCCACGCACCACTATTTAAGCAAATATAAACAAAAACATTTTTTCAAAAGCATCAACAAAAAATCAATTAAAAGCACTTAACAAATTTAAACCTGCAGGGATAGATAATTTTCATCCCCATATGTTTAATGAAATGCATTCTTCAACTCTAATTTCAATCATTTTTTCCAAATCTTTTTGCTTTCCAAGTTCAGTTCCAAATAGCTGGAAGTTAGCTAATATTACACCTATCTACAAAAAAGATCAGAAAACTAATCCTGAAAACTACCCAATCTCAATTACATCTGTTCTATGCAAAATGATGGAACAACTTGTTAGAGATGCAATGCTTAAACATTTACTTTTGAAAAACCTTCTTGAAGAAAACCTATATAGTTTTACATCTGGTAAGTCTTGTTTAACCAATTTATTGGAATCTTTTGATTTAATTACCCAGGCTTTGGAATCACGTGATGATGTGGTTGTAGTTTTGCTTGACTTTGCCAAAGCGTTTGATAAAGTTAGTCACTTGTTACTTCTTAAAAAAGTTCGTGCGTATGGTTATGACGAATATATCTGCCAGTCGGTAAATGCACTCCTTTCCAATCGAAAAAAACGAGTTATTATAGAAAATTCAGAATCCAACTGGTTAAGCGTCCTCAGTGGTGTACCTCAGGGTTCATGTATTGGACCATTACTACTCCTTATTTTTATTAATAATATGCCTCGTCTGCTCAATAATCATTGCAAATTTTATTCTGGCAACACTAAAACTAGTGCGGTTATAAAAGAGCCCTGACCTGCAGCAATTACAAACCGATATTGATAGAGTAGTTGACTGGGCTGATACTTGGTCAATAAGCTTTAATCTAGAAAAATGCAATTATATGATTTTTAACAAGCATTGTAGCACACAACAATTAAACAACAAAACTTTTGTTGATGATAAATTTAATGATTGCTTCTAACTAAGAATGACTGACAAAACTTGCTTTTCTCACATTTTTAAAGAGACCAAATCTGAATGTGATCTTGGTGTTGTTGTTCATAATCGGTATTTGTGGAACGATCAATCAGCAAAAGCTATTTCAAACTCATATACTGTTCTTGGAATTCTTAGACTCACTTTCAAACAATAGACTCTTGAAATGTTCCGCGTCCTTTACTGTAAGGCCTTATTTGGAGTATTGTTCAGCAGCATCGGGACCCTTTTCAACTGAAAATATAAAAGCTCTTGCAGCTGTTCAAAATTGAGCCACAAAACTTGTTCCATATCTGCGAACCATAAAAGTTAAGGAACAATGCTCAGCTGTTAGTATTCAATCACTTGAAAATCGAAGACGCCGAAGTGATTTTATAAAATATTTTAAGATATATCGCGGCATAAGCAAAGTTAAATGAATCTAATCACCGTCTCCTGCTCCTGCTCTTGATCAACCTGGACCAGCCGATGGTTTTTCCCATCGCATTCGGGCAACAAGAATTATTAAATGTGTAGCTCGCAAAACTTTTTTATGTAACCGTGTGGCAGTTGTTTGGAATGCGCTACCACCAGATTTTTGGTAATCCTTTATACTGGATCTACCATAGCAGGGATTGGTTGCTTTTCTACCTCACGGATTTTTCCGTTGTAGATTAAATTTAAATAAAAAAATAAATAAGTAGATAACAATATGCTTTTTTCACCCGTTTTTATAATAAATACTGTTCTTCTGATAATCATATTTCCCTGCTATTTTTCAAAAGATCTTTAAAGTCTTTTCTAGTTTAATAAAAATGAAGTACTTGTGACTTTTCCACAAAAATGCATAAAATCTCACATTCCATGAGAAAAGTGTATGCCTAGGAATGAAGCTCAAGTAAACCTTCAAAAAATCACTTTTCATTTGATAATAAACAAAAGGACATAAGAGAAAAACTAAATCAAATGGAGAAGTTACAAAATCTATTTTGAATGCATAAAAAATGTAATAGCACTCTTCTTGGCCTAGATAATAAGATTGATTGAAACCATCCAGCTAAAGTTTAAAAAAATTAACTGTATGTGCATACATATACACTTACTCACATATAAACGTATACATATCCAGTTACATACATACATATATACATACATACATACATACACACATACATACATACATACATACATACATACATACATACATACATACATACATACATACATACATACATACATACATACATACATACATACATACATACATACATACATAAAAACATACATATCCACATGTATACATACATTCATGCATACATACATGTATGCATACACATATATACATACATATGCACATATACAAAAACATATGCATACTTACCCATATGCACATAAACACACACACATATATATATATATATATATATATATATATATATATATATATATATATATATATATATATATATATATTTATATATATACATATATATATATATATATATATATATATATATATATAATATATATATATATATATATATATATATATATTTATATATATACATATATATATATATATATATATATATATATACATATATATATATATATATATATATACATATATATATATATATATATATATATATATATATATATATATATATATATATATATATATATATATATATATATATATATATATATATATATATATATATATATATACAAATACATACTCATACACATACATATACATTCGTATACATATACCTTTTTGTTTTTTTTTTTTGTTTTTTTTAACAATTTAGAGAGTTTGTAGTACATATACAAAATAAGAAATATATATATATACAGGATTAAAATCAGAGATATAGTCAAAACAGTAAAGGCCAAGACCAAGACTAAGATCAAGACATTTAGGCTCAAGACCGAGACCAAGACCAAGACTGAATGCTTCAAGACAAAGACCAAGACCAAGACATTAAAAAATCAACCCAAGACCAAGACCAAGACTTTAAAAGTTTTTACAAGACCGGGATCAAGAATTAGGTTCAAAGAAATCCAATAAAACCCATGCTCACTAATGTAAAGAGTAAACAGGTACTATTTATTGACCAGCTTTACGCCCCTTTTTTATTTAGGCTAGTGTAAATGTATTTATAATATATTATAACGTATTAATACAGTTTTTTTTTTTTTTTTTTGTATGTATTTAGGTGCTCCCAGAAGTCCTTACGGTCTTATCATAGAGCACCGCGGTAGAGCATTTAACAAGAAGTTCACGCCTCCTTCCATACCAATGTCGCTTATTGGGCTAGAGCTAGCGTCGAACCTCAAACCTCTGGGTTCTGAGCCAGAACTCTAACCACTGCGCCACGGCTGCTCAGTTTAGAATATTGAATGTTGGATCTACTTGCTTGGGTTTTTGCTTTTGTCAAAAAAATGTTTGAATGCTACTAGATCTTAGTTGGTGTGATAATTTAGCATTCATAAACATTACCTTGCAATAAAACGTAGTTACGCGTGTATGACAACTGCAGTCTACAAAAGATATATTTAATGAAAACAGAAAACTTTCAGTAATAATAATAACAATAAAAAACTAACTTTTTTTGTAATGTTAAAAACAAAAAGTACTAATAAAAAATGTCTAAAAACAAATAGCAGACATGCTAGACCAGTAGCCGCATACTATAGTTACAAAAAATAAAGTTAACGGGTTATTTCAGAAACAACATAAATAAAAAACCGGGTTTTTGTACAACTTGATTTCACAACTTATATAACACGTTAGTTAATCCTAGTAGAAACAAACTAAACATTGTCAGAAATTATGGTTTACACATCACTGTTACATTTCAAATAAACAAGAGACGATAACATCTCATCACTCAGTCTGGCACGATTCGGTCGCATAATTAAACCTCCCTGGCTGAATACGCGCTCCACTGGTGCAGAAGAACCTGGAATACAGAAAAGCTTCTCTGTCAGAGGATTCATAATATTGTAATATTCAGCAGATTGAGCTTTCACCCATGCCTTTTCTCCATAAGTGCTTGATGCAATCGAAACCATTTTTTCCATGAAAGCTGTAGCAATAATGGTTGGTGACAATGGAACAGTATTTTGTTGTCTCATTTCAATTTTCTGACAACGTTTTGTGTATGAAGCAAAAAGCGTTGATTTACGCTTGCATAAAAGAGTCACGTCACTACTAGCACCACCATTTTGGTCTAGCTGTTCTTGAGGTTCCTCCTCTTCTACTGTTGGGGGCAATAAATTTTGAGTAGAAGGTGCCAATAGATCTTGAGTGGTTTGCGACTTTACTATAATGGCCGAAACCTCTGCTGTTATAAGAGCTGAAAAATCAATATTTTCAACGTAAAGCATAAAAACAAAACAATGAAAATTTAAAACTGACAAGTTGTAACAGAATTATTAGAATATAATTATATTATAATAATTTCGTTATAATCAACAAACCACCGTTAATTTTTTATCTATTTGACAACAACTTAATAGTTCAATAAAAATAAACAAAAATAAAACTTTTTTAACTTACTCGCAATATGTTCACGAACAAATCTTTTGACATCATCTAGTCCAGGATGGTCTTTCTCTAGCCAAAGTAACAAATAACTAGGATCTAAGGCTGAGGCCATTAGGTAAAGCATTGAAGAAAAATTAAGGTTCTTCTTAATTTTGTCACCTGTTGGCAAAATTTTGACATTCTGCAACAATCCACCAAATCTGTCACACAAGGAGCTCAACACACCGTTAACCAGTGGAATGTGATACTTGACAGTTGAACTGAGTGTGTTAAGACACTTATGCAGGCCAACAATTGAAGGCACAACGCATTCTATTGTTGGATAGCTATCACCCTGTAACAAATCTGTAGCCTCTGCAAAAGGCTGAAGAATTTCTACTAGTTCACGCAACATTGCCATCTCACGTTGTGTCAAAATAAGATTACTATGGTCTCCTCTGAGCAAATCCGAAAGTTTTACAGGATCCAACCTGATAAAACTGAACAGCTGAACAAACATGCTGTTCCACCTTGTAGCATTGGTTTTTGGTATAGAGCGTCCTTTTCCAAACTTTGAATCAAAATTTACACGGAAAAGCGTATTTTGATGTGTTAAATTTGCCAGCTTTGAGCATTTGGCTAACAAACTGTTATCTGTTTTCAGATGAGTTAGTCCATCTTTTACACACAGCTGCAAAGAATGCGCATAGCAGACCAATCTTTCAGTTGCATGTTGCTCGATAGCTTCGTTCACAATGAGTTGGTCTTCTTCATGCAGATCATTCCACCTTTCTTCGTCATCAACTATAACAATATGTCTAGATTCATCTTCACTCTCATTAGCCTGTGATTCATTGAGCACATCAAAAGCTTTTTTCATATTTGAAGCGTTATCAGTTACAACACATCCTAGCTTTGTTCTGATTTGATTTTTCTCAATGATGTTATTTAGTTCATCTGCAATTAATTGACCATTATGCCTTCCTTTGACTGGACAAAAAGCCAAAAGAAAATTTTGGAGTTTGCCATCAGAAAAGTAGTGTCTTGTACAAGCAAGATATGAATGCATCCTTCTATCAGTCCATATATCAACAGTTATTGCTAAATGCCCAATGGACTGAACTTGTTTTGAAATAAGTTCTCTTTTTTTCTTTAACAGCCTCTGGTATTAATTGAGATGTTAGATGGCTTCGTGATGGTAGTACGTACTTGTTATTCATATCCCAGATAAATTTCCGAAAATTTGAATTCTCGACAAGAGATAATGGAAGTGAGCAACCAACAATAAGATTTGCAACTAAAGAGTCTGTAATTTTAATTTGGTCAGGATGTTGCGATCCGTACGAGCTATTCTGTTTTGTAAAGAATGTGTCAATAATTATTTGTTTGCGATTGAAATTAATATGTTTCTGTGTCACATACTCTGCGTGTTTTTCAGGGTAAACATTACTTTTATGTTTAAAGTAAAAAAATTAAAAAGTTGAAAGGTATAATTTAAATAGACAAAATACTTTGTGTTTTCTAAAAACATCGATATATTTGAACATTTTTATTTGTTTTTGATTTTTAATTATTAATCTAAGAAAATGGGTCCTAACAAATGAGAGGGTCGGCATATTAAAAAACCTCAAATTTAGAAACAC